TAGCTTTTCTGAATCGCGTTAGCTTGGTCCCGCTGAATTGTTTCCAGCGTCCAGACAGAAGTAACTGGATTTTGGTTTCTGCAGCCGGTACCAGAAATGTAACTCGGAACAGTGAAAATGCATGATGTCCATGAAAAATATTCCGCGTTAAACAAGAGCCAGGAAAACCTTTTCCATCAAATACGTTGACACGAACCCTAAGTTTCCTTTTGCTTCACGTGTTTTTCATTGATCGATAGGTTGGGTCGTAGTTGACATTGATAAAGGTTGCTGATTGACGTGAGGACTAAGTTCTCAAAACTAATCAGACATTATTTTTATCTCCCCTATTCAGGGTTTTCATTAGTTACCAGTGGAACTTATGCCCATAATTTTCTAGATGTACTGATATGAAACGAGATACACCATGACACTTCAGTGCTAATTGATACTCGTTTGGATGAATAGAAAGCGAGAGGTCACTTTGTCCAGTATAATGTTCTTCAGTTTTCAACCACTATATCTGGACCGCCCCCTAATGAAGGCACACTACCCTATGATTCGAAGGGTACCACGATCACACTTACCTGTAAGGCAGGTTCCAGGCAGCGCCTATCAAATAACAGACCGATATGTTTGACTACCAGTGTGGTAAAGATCTTAGAAACAGTAATCAAGGATGCTATCGCAGTTCACTTGGAGGGTAACACTCTGTTGTCTCATTCGCAGCATGGATTTGGCAGAAATGTCCTTTGCTTGACGAACCTCCTCATTGTCAGTGGAAGTTGGGTTAGGTCTAAAGACGACAGGATACCTGTAGGTGTCATTTTCATACGCTTTAGTTAGGTGATCGACAAGGTACCTCATTCAAGACTACTGGGAAACTGGAACGTTTTGGAATCACTGGTGGTATGTTCGCATGGATAAGAGAGTTTCTTGTTGGTGGGAGGCAAAGAGCAAGGATCAATTTTCAACCTTCCTCGTAGAGGTCGGTAGAGAGTGCGGTCCTGGGTCTCCCGCTATTTCTTTTATACTTGAGTGATCTGCTGAATATCACGAAATCCCAAGTGTTTCTTTACGCTGACTGTGTGAAAATCCGGCATGAAATCATTGATAGAAGGGACATACGTGCACTTAAGGTAGGCCTAAACAGCTCGGTTCCTTGGTCAGAGGAGCGGCTTACACTTGCCAACTCAGGTGAACGTGTGACCATGGACTTGGGGCATACAGATAGCACTCCCCACTATACTGACCCATGGCGACTCAGGAGTCACAGTGAGTCGTGATTTGAGAGCTAAAGCACGTTACTGATTGATTGCACCTCAGAGTTTTAGGATACTTCGAGCGTTAAGCCTAACGTTCACCAAATAAGCGATGATATGTTCACCATCTAAGCCAGTAAACTTTACACAGGCCACAAATCTCCCTCTTTAGGGTGACTAAAGCCCGCTGGGGGCAGTTCAGTGGACAGCCACTCGTAGGATCCCTGAGATGGCTGGCCTGACCGATAAAAACCGCCCTAGGGGACTGAAGGTGTACTATTTAACCTATCTTAGACAGAAGGGAGTTCTAATCATGCTATGCAAACCTCCAAGGAATGAATTTAAACGCGATTTATCTTCTCTTTCCCCTCTCACCATGCCGCGTCGCCTCACAGGACGCATCAGAAGAACAAAAAGCCAAAGAACGAATATGGTCTCTGCAGAGTGCGTGTTCTCGCATCGAGTAATCAAATCCTGCAACTAACTCCCAGAAGAAGTGGTGTCCGCTTTGTTGACTGACTCGTTCAAAAGAGGACCGGAAAGGAGCTGAGATCCTCTGGAAAAAGGTCAATAGGAGCTCATAGCCTTCTGCCCTCACACAACAGACCTGAAACTACACTCTACTGGCCAAAGTACTACTGTGTTCACGACAGATGACAACACCAAAGAGAAATAACGAATGTTCACCGGATAACAGCTTAATAATTATGAAAACCTGGGGTTCACTGATCGGAAAATTGACCAGGAAAGCCCCAAGCTTGCCAACCACGAGGGAGTAACTTTAAAGGCCGCCTCAGTAACTGGTGAAATAACCAGTCTGGTCCCGTTATTTCGGCTGGAAACGTAGTTTTTCACGGGCTAAAGTAGTGCAGCTGATTATTTCAGCAGTTGTTCGGGTGACCTTCACGATCACCCCCACAAGGTGGTCACTACCTATGAAAATGGCGGAGAAGGTGATCTGGTTGTCCACCTGATGAGCTTAAGCCATCCTACTACTGCTTGATGCTGGCGTTGAAAAGTGTAAATATTCAGCGTTCAGTCGAATTATTCAGCAATAGAGAAACATACGATTTGCATAGGAACCTTTCCACATCCGTAAAGTAGGTGTATGCCTTCATATTCAGGAATAAGCTTTTGCGTGACCAAAAGGCATTCAGATGAAACTGAATAGTCTAAAGGGCACCAAGAGCGTTGTCCTTGGAATGTCAGAGGGCTCCACAGGTGACTGATGGTCTGCTTTTTTCAGCCTTCTGGATACTTGCTTTAGGGACGGAATACGTCAAAGCATCTGCGTCAGGAATAGGGTAAATACCAACAACCATACGTTTATTCAATGCTTTGTGGTCACATTTCTCCCAATTTCCAAGGGACGAATGCAAGGGCTCTGTGGCGGAGGTATAACCCAACTGCAAACTTCTGTCAACTTCTTGCCTGGCGATTAGCGAATTTTCTGTAATAAACCAACCACGTCTTGAGAAAACATGCGGAAATTTAGTGACAACGTGATGGCTGACAGCGTATTTCAACGAACAGGCTTCGTAGTCAGGCTCCCTAAGTTCCGGAAATCTAGCCAGCGGGTCTCAATAAGCACAAACGCTAACTCTGATGAATACCGCGAAGCTGATAGCTTTGGTATCTGTGATTACGCCAGCCATGAAAAGGTCGCGATCACGATGAATTAGCCCGTGCAGGCTGGTAACCGCTCACAACTCGTAGTACTGTGGGAAGTCTATTCCGAAATTCGACAGGGGCTTTATCGGCAATGACAAGACTCCAGGTAAATCTTATGAGATTCACCGTGAGCCCAACGCCTACCACCATTTTCTTCTTGTCACAGATGATTGTATCGGATTTGCTGACAGCCTACACTGCCCCTTCCGGATGGCTGGTGAGACTTCACTTACATCCGCCTAGGCGTTGGCCTGAAGCTGGGTGCCGATACTTTTACCGGTGACATGAGACACGCCGGTCGCATAATTATCCTGTGCTGGAGAAAGCGGCTGTCAGTTACCTCTTGCCTTCTCTAAATCTCCTCCAGGCATTTTAGTTACCTAGGATTAGATAGCATCGAGCTTGATTGATGTACTTGTTGTGATCACATGTCAGCCTCTCCACCCGTCAAGAAAATCGCCTACACCTGTATAGAGATATATTTTTGGAGGCGTTTCGTTTTCTTCCCCTCGAGGGAAAGAAATAAATGGATTTCTCCCCTTAAAAAGGGGAGCAATCGGAGTTAGAGAGCCCACAGACTACGCATCGGAGAGAATAGGCAAGCCACCGCTTAGCAACATGAAGATAGTGACTAAAAATTAATAATATAGATCGGGGTAACCGGTGAGGGAAGAGCGGTGTTAGGAGTTGCCGAGGTATCCGTGTGCTTTCCAAAAATGGCCAACGGGAGGAATATTGTTGCGAAAAGGCTTTGCCACTTTATAGTAGACCCAAGGTTAATCGTTTAATTTGTCTAAAATATCCACAGTAATTTTAGGCATGGTTTGCGGTCTCCTGCTGGGTTACCGTGCTACACTGTTGCCGCAAGTGACAAGATGGTCGCAGGTCAAAAGTTGTGACCGAGCAAGTGTCAGCCAAACACAACAGAAAGAAATAAAAATCTATAAGAAATAAAAGAATGTGAGGAGCATGCGATACCAACACTGCCTCCACTAATTCACATCAGCCTGCCTTCTTTTATAGTGTGGGTTTTGTATTTAGTATCCCAGTCTGCTGAATCACTAATAGTGTTCATCATCAGCTTAATACGGATAAGCTTTGGAGTATGGTCGAACATGGAAAGGGGTTGTTTATGGATATATGAAGGCTATCAAAATGAAAACGATGTGCAGGTTTAAGAACGAACGGACTCACCGATTTCGGAATTTTCGTGGTGCGAACTTGACAAGCGCAAGGGCTAAGGGCTAATCATTCTTACTTCCTATATACCCACGAATACAAGACCAAGAAAGAACACAATAGCGTAGTCAGATGGAGTAGTATATTTGCGAGTTCGTGCAAAGATACCTGTATGTTCCAACTAACTGGCTAGAGAGTCGATTACGAGCAGTGCAACGTAACACGACAGCGTGCCAAATGGCGAGGATTCTCGACCGTGTGCCTTCAGCTAATCAAGTCCAGTTAAACTATGAAGGTCAGCATCAGTGTTTAATCTCGTCAAACGCCAAGCTATTGATTCTAGAGAAGCTTGTGGTACTACACCTATTTTATTGCTTCTTGGATTATAGGGAGGGCTTCGGAAGGCGAGAATTATAACACGAATATGCATGTGCTCCTCTCCCGGGGGGGTCTTGTTATTCATACAGTTTTATGTTGCGTGGGCCTTCAAACAGAAGCCCTTGTTGAGAGTCGTTTCTAACAGAGAAAACCGCTTAAGTACTAGATACCTAGTAATGTTCCTATGACTTTTGCAACTGTGGAAACCTTGAAGATTAGAGATATTAAGTTTGCCACCCGCTTTGTGACTAGATGACAGTCAACTTGCCAAGCAATACACAGACTTAATTCTAAAGAATGGATAACTCAGGAGGTTTCGGAATGTGACGCACAAAATATTAGCTCACCCTTGGTCTAATTTTGAGTTCGTCAGATTTGTTATAATTCACAGCTTTCCTGAGCGTGATTTTCCCAACAGATGCAAAAAAGCCCAAACATCGGAAGCATTAAACATTCTGAAGGATGAAAAACGTCATATACACTGCGAAAGCCTATAGAGTAATTTATACATACCATTATTAGAAAGCACATATTTAAACAGTGCGTTACCGTTTGACATGGGTCCAAGGTCAATCAGTTTAGCTGCGCAACTTTCTCCTGAAATATCACGCCTGCTTCAGAAGTCTGATTTGAATGTTGAAGAATTACAAAAAGTTCAAAATTATCTGCGTGTTAACCCTCAACACCTTATTCATCACAGTAGTCGGTTGGAAGTATTGATTACTAAAGTAATTAACCCTGTGGAATGTAATTGTCCGGCAAAAGATTCTACTCACCTCAGCGTATTATGTGACAGGGAAAGTAAAGATGAGAAGATTCAGCTAGCAGCTGCATGTTTCTCGCTGATGCCTTTCTTAAAATTCTCACCACAACGTCTTCACGACTATCAGTTACGCCTAGCTAGATGCCTCTGTGAAACATTGTGTGGTCTACTTGAAATCAACCGTTTGCCACACGCAACTTTGTCGACAGTCCAAGCTTATTTAAATTCAAAAGTTGATTGTTTTCTATGCATAACTCCAGTAGACAAGATGCAAAAGTTTCCCAATGACTTCGCTGATTTATTGTATATGCGTGCTGATTTTTTCATTTATTGCCTGCGTTCCATCTTTCTGCGTGATTCAATGGCACATATCAATATCTGCTTGCCCACTTTCATGTCTATATTTAACAGTTTCTTCGAAGTGAATTTGACGGATAATGAAAATATACCAGGTCGTTTACTGGTAAGTTCTAGTCGTCTAATGTTGTGTTTGAATACTGTATGTGAAACGCTAGGGACGCTTGTTATGCCTGCTGTTCCATGCCTTTTGACTATCATCACTTATCATCTAGAATGGACTGTAGATTGGAGACTCGATGCTAGACATATGGAATATTTCGTACGTCTACGTTTAGCGGCTATTTCCTGTTTGCTTCGTCTCGTGGCCAAGAACATGAAGTTTTCGTACTCATACTTTATGGAAGTGATGCCACGTATAGTTTCACAATTGGTTCATGATCTCCAATGTGTTTCTTCTGTGTATCAGAGTATGTATTCAGTTAAATCTGGCAGCATGGCACCCGTCGGTGATGTTTTGAAGTCTTCAGGAGTTAATTTTGGATTGTTCGAAAAGCGTGTAACACTAGCAGTCTTGCTTCTCGTGGAGTACATATTCAAAGACCCAGGAATATTGCGTTATGCGGCTCTTTGTGAAACTAAATCTATGATGAACATAGATTGTGTAACCAGTAATGGACTTCCTGTCAATAGAGCATCTATTTGTAATGAGTTTAGCCGCCTCTTTCTGAGTATCAGCAATATTATCTCACATATTAATGCTGTTCTAAGTCGTGGAATTCCTTGTTTTCAACGACAGGACAAGATAACTAATATGGTGACAGTAAGTCCACCAGTACTTATTGCTTTTGCGAAGACATCTGTTTCCTGCGCTATATCCATCCATAATCAAACGTTCCGGTTGACTGTTCTAAAGTTCCTTAACAACCTAATAAGACATCCAGACAATGCAATAAGCTTGACTGCAATGGAATATTTTCATCGATTATCTAGTTTAAATCTCGACAAACCCGTTAGTCATGAAAATTCGGAGCTTAATTCGGATAATCATTTACACGATACATTTGTACATCAGCCCAAGCTTGTTTTACAAAAGGAGTATACAAATGTTTGTGTCGAGCATGACTCTGAAGTGCATTCTTGTATCAACAATAATTCTATTTCCCCACAAGATGAGCTACCCTTTAAACGCCCTCGAGTTACAGAAACACAAACAGTTAATCAGACCAAGACAAAATCCCCGGATACTAAACATGTTGAGGCAGAGTTTGAGGTCTCACCATTTGAAATCCACAAGCTGGATCAAATGTCAGATGATCAAACTTCCACACGTTCATCAGATGTTTCCAGTCTTCTAACTGCTTTCGATCCGACTTTTGTGTAAAGTTTCGTAATTTCATCCATTCTTTTGTAAATAAAATGTAAATTGTGATTGTCCTTATAATGTCTGCTTAATTGCTTTGCCTTGCTCATCAACATAAGAAGTAGAATTATTGCGTAACGGGCCAAGTCACATTTTAAGAAAACTTATTGCAGACAAAAAGAATAGTATTTGAAACAAATAACTATCTTAAAGTCTGGAGAAAAGCAAAAGATTCTGTGACTGACAGTGGCTTTCTGTCTTGTTTTTAAGCGTCTGTGCTTTTGATCCTTAAAGAGTAAGTCTCCCTGTACTTGTCGTCCGAGAACTGAGTAATGTTCATTATCCAAGTACCTGACGTTGTCGTTATTTCTAAACTGAGCTGGTTGAGGTAGATCATACATAATTCTCATGTAGCTTGCCAAAGTAATACGTCATCTTATCAAATCACAGATTCCAGTTAACGGTCATTCTCGTGCAGTAAGGGGTTACGAAAACATCAGAGTCAACTACTTCGTTGTTGGGACTGTTGTTTCAGCTACCCAAATACCGTCCACTGACTCTGGGTTTGGATGGAGGAAGCGGAGATGTGGTAAGTGCATACCGACTTTGTGGAATGAAGAATAGTCGTGTTGGGTTCCTCGGCTTCGAGTATGGAGCCCCAAGGGTTTCATGACCTCCTTACCTAGGATGGCTTAGAATCGATGCCAGTGACGATCATGCTGCGGCTTTCTAGTTCTTGTCATTATCGAAAAGTAACTTGATAGTAATGAAAGTCCCTATGAATGTATTATCTACACCTCTTGAATAACCCTTCTGTTCTTTACGTTCCTTCTCGCCATAACATTTCATGTCTCTTAATATTGTTATTTTGTGTGGCGCATTTCTTGATACTAATGCTGTATCAAGTTTGTGTTTTAAATAAATACCTTTAATTCTGCTGAGTAGACCATAAATTATAAAGTCGTCAAAAGAGACTTTATTGGTTTTGAACACACTAAATTGTTAGTGGTATAAATGTAGCTAAGTGATTGTAGTATTTCTGTTTATTTTCAGCTTATGGAATGTGCTTATTAGAGGAACTAATAGGGGCTGTCGTAATTAGGTGCTCCATCCGTAAATACATAGCTGGGAAAGTAGATCTTATTTGCACATGATTAAAATGACGTTTTGTGGTTCAGAAGATTCTCAATCCTAAGTGTATAACATCGCAAGTGTTGTTTTAAAGTAGGAATGCTAATTCACCAGCCTTACTGTATTACTAGTGTTTCCAAACTTTCAATCAAGGAAGGTTGTTAATTGTGGTTGACGAAATGAAAATGCATTCAGCAATCACGTGGAGTACACATTGTGCCACAAGTACTTTATGATGGCTGGTAATATCATCTGGCTGCCCAGACCTTAGTGAGTGGAATGAGATACAAATCCGTGACCTGCTGGCTGAAAGTCGAACCCCTGAACCAATGTGCGATAGCTTCAACCTGGCCTTCATATTAGTAACAACGATCAAATGTGTCATCTTTCTACTGAAATGGTTGTGGTCCACAGTTTCGACCATTCTAAATTCTAGAGTTTCGGGCAGTTAGTATCACTATCCTAACAACAGGTGTGGAGAATATCATGGTGCAGAAACTGCCCATAGTTGCTGGCCTGGATTGTTATACTTTATGTCTATTTTCTGAACTGCGGAATCGTGTGATTGCAATACCAAGACAGGGGCTGCTGTGAGTAGGGTTTAATTTTTTATACATTCTTTTTCCATTTTTTATCAATTGCTTTGGAGAGACCATGAAGCTTCTAATTCTTTGATTACTTCTGTTGTTCAGAATGTAATGGTTATTAGATTGTGGCTAACAGTCGCGCTTAAGTTTTTTCAGGTATTCAAAGTAACGCTGTATCACCGATGGAATAAATGTTTTAGTCTTAGTAGTCCCTATGTATCAAAGTTGTAACACCAACGTTTAAACCATCTAACTAGTAGATAAAAGTTGCAAAGCTGACCCTTCGTTCATAAATAATTACCTTATGTTGTCACATCACCAGCAAATGAGACCAATAATAGTTTTAAATAATTTTTCAGGCCTATTGGATTTCATCTGTTAACACGATTATAACTCCTCACAATCCTTAACGAGATATTTGGTTACGTAAGACCAACTTACTTTCAGCTAAGCGTTATTGTGTTGTTTCGACTCACTTGTATGATGAGGTTTTGTTAAATGGGAATACTATAGTTCATCACAAAACATGTCATAAAATCTTTCTCTTGACTGGAAACCCACTGATCAAACCACATATTCAGGATTATGACAGCAAATAAAATAGTCATTTTGTTATGATTATATTAGCATCTACTTAAGCATTTGTGAGTGACCATCACTTATAAAATTTTCCGTCTGGGTGTTTATGACATCACTTTGTGCCAGCCATTTGCTGTGCTAATGTCACAAACTGCAGTAGTATACAAAGGCTAAGTGGATAGAAAAAGACTGGTATCAAAGTAGATGGAGTTGTGTGATAGAATAAGCCATTTGAAGATGAAGTGGTGTAAATATTAACTTTAGAAGACCTCAAAAAGTGAATACATCTGCGCCACTGTGACCTCTTTTCAGCCATTTCACCGGGGATTATGATTCCTGTTGTCTCACGAACCCTAACCAGATAGTCAAAATGTCTCAACTCAGGCTAACAGTAAGGCACTTCATCGACTGGTGTCACGTCATGGCCTGGCCACCCTGAACTCTCTTCCAACCTAGTCGAACTCGCCCTAGCATTGCGCGTCGAGGTAGGCAGCGATTTGCTCGGCATGCGCAGTGCAGTACATTTCCAAGCCAGCCCACTCAACCAAGGTTCACAACCTTACCCACCGATATGCCTGTCGTGCCCAGTACCCTTCGCCTAACTTCAACATACTCTCAAGATGATTCCACGAAACGCGATTAATACTATGAGAACACCTGTGGTCGAAAACTTGTAACTGGCTCATGTGTTCAGTCTGTAAAGGTTTACAACCTCATCGGCTGACTTGCTTCCCCTTTCTAATAATATATGCTTAACCTCAACATTACTTAAAAGGTAATGCAGACATCTCTCGACCTCACATGGACCGTAGTATCTTCCTTCTTTTAAGCATTTTTGATTGGGTAGTCTTTCTAGTTCTTTGTCTTTCCTCTTGATAATTTCCACCTCGATATAAAGTGTGATACCTTCGATGGTTGCACGGTTAGATAATAAGATTTTGACAATATCCCTCGAGGCGCAGTCATAGGAACTACTATACAAATCTGTAGAAAAGGGTTTGTAATTTCTGTATTTTTAGGTCTTTGTGATTTTCTGATTAGATGTTTTTATACATGAGTAGCATTGATAATGTACACTTGCATGTGAACGAGGTGAAACTGTGTAACAGAAATATACTTGCATAATTAAGATGGAGTTCCTAGGTGTGTTCCGAAATGGCATACAATTCGATGTAGGGTTATGTCGAATAATTATTGTCAATCATTTCAAATAACGAAACGATGCAGGATGACCATTCGGAAGTGTGCCACACAAACAAGGGTATAAAGACGAAGGACAGAAGTAAGAATAAACAGAACTTCCCTAGCTCAAACGAACATTAAGTACTTTCATCATAATTACCGATAATTGAAGAAAAGAGAAAGCTATTGCATTAACAGTATTGGTTCAGCTTCTAAGTCATGTTTGGTGATATTCAGTGGGTTTAATAATCTCTCGCATCTTACGTAAGTAATCTTGAAGCACCATCAGATGCTTAACAAACACACCTATCCTTTATTCCACTGTGCTTCATTAGAAACTGACCATCCCTCCACTTTTTTCAGTCATCCTCATAACTAGCAGACAATGTTAAATTATCTGGAATGGCATCGCACATGACTTGTGTCCACCAAATCAGTGAAGTCGGTCTTTCAATAGGATTTTATACAGCGAGTGCTCAGAGACACTGTCGTGTCTCAAGATTGGTCCACCCATAAAACAGTTCGCTCCTCTGATCTAAAACCCTGCTTCTAGTGTTGTTTGGAATGTTCGTACTAACCTGGGGAATGGTGTCGAGTCATGAGTGATCGAGTGTTGGCAAGAGAATAGGCCTAATTAATGACTTCTTTCATATTCGAGTCATTCATAAATTGCACCAGTATTATTTTTGGAAACTTTAAAGATAATCACATGTAGGCTCATGCGTATGCTGTCTTCAGCTTATTACAAACATAAGTAAGTGCCTGGTAGTCATTGCACGTAGACGCTTCATCAAGTGAATACGTGGAGATAATTTTGTTTAGTTGTTTGTAAAGTTTCCTCTGATCGTTATTATATATCTTTTCTCGCTCGTGGGATTTGTTATTTCCCTCAACTGAAAGGAAGATTGTTGGGTATACCCTGGAACTATGTACAAATCGTAACTTATTTCTAGCTAGCACCATTTACATGGACAGCCTTCGCCGACGTCGTAATTGTGCTACTGGGACTTTGATTCAAATGCATTTTGCAAATAGCGATTCCATGTGTTCACATATGACAATTTCTACCATCAGAGTATCTATCACCAAACTGCTATGGTGATCAATATAAACATCATCCTAAACATGTTGACGCAAGCGAATTGACCGCACTGAATACCGTTATTCAATATGAAACCAAGATAATTTCACAGTTAACTGTTAGTATTCCCGGAAATACAAATAAGCACTAACCAAGATAATTACGGTAGGGTTGCGAAAGGTTTGGCTATCTTTTGCGAAATATTACTATTGTGGCATCAAAGAGATACCCAACTGCCTACTTCAATATCCCGAGAGATGTTATGACTCTCTCAATGAGACGGGTGCCAAGTGAACGCATCACCCTGGTGAAGGTTCTCTACTTAAATACCCGTACGCGTGTTGCAGCCTACAGTGAGTTGTGTACGTGTAGTGGTGCCCAACAAACATGCCAATTTTCTCCATTCCTATTCAACTTTACCACAGACTTTCTCATGGATGTTCTGTCTCCTCTTTGTCTGATTACAGGAATTGATTTTCCCGCACGAGAATCCTTAGTAGATCTACAATACTCAGATA